TTTATGGCGCACACCCACCACGCAGACCCGTTCGCTCACATGTTGGCCTATGAGCGTTTTCGCGCTAAATTTGACGGGGCTAGAATTTTGGCGTAGATCTATGGTTTGGACACTCAACGTGAAGCTGTAGATCTACTGGATGGACCCTGAAAGGGTTAATTAGTTACTATGCACAGTGGACCCCCGAGTTTCGTGATTAATCCGTTTCAGAGAGCTTGCCGAAGGTCGAAATTCACGAAACTTGAAACCATTTTCCCCATAAGAAATAATGGAAATAAAATTAATCCGTTCCAGACACCCAAAAATATTAAAGTAAAATATTTTTTTCAAATTAAATAAAGATTTACATAATGAAAACACTCAGAAATCAAGTACATGCATTTAAAATAAACAATAATATTACACTTACTTTACTGAAGACTTCTAGGTGGATGGAAGATAGGAGGAAGGTGTACACTATTGTTTGGAAGGAGAATCTCCTTCCATTAGGACTTTAGGTAGCAAGTCCTTATCTGGGGTTACTTCCCTTCTTCTTTTAATGCCACTGGGAACAACTTGAGAGTCACTGGACCCCTGGTGCACAAAATATCTATCCACAGAGGTCTTTTTCTGGTGTTTCTTTAAGATTTCCCTGAAGTGGGACACAACACTGTCATTGTACATGTTGCAGATACGGCTTGTTTCAGCTTGGTCAGGGTAATACTTTTCAACAAAACTTTGCAACTCATTCCACACATATCCTTAATCACTGAAGAAGGCATCTCATCCACTCCCTCTTCCTCCTCCTCTGAAGCAAGTTCCTCGGCTGTGGTCTGATGCTGTTCCAGTTGAAGCTCTTGCCTGTGGTCCTCCACCAACTCTTCCACATCCCTGTCACTCACTTTATTTACCAAAGGGCTTGCACTAGCTTTCCTTGGGTCCATGATGACTTATTTAGCAGTTGCAAGCACAAAAAACAATGGATTATTATGAAATGTATTGTATGAACCCGCGGGGTGATGGTCACGTGTTGGTAAACAATGGCACACTGAGCGTGAATGGCGTGGGAGACTGGCTTTGTGTGTGCAGTGACGGGCGGACGGGTACCAGACAGTCGCCAAAACACGAGTTTTTTCACGAAACTCGAGGCCAAATTTTTCCAAAAAAACTCGCTGAAGGTCGAATTTCGCGAAAGTCGAGGCTGCCGAAACTCGGGGGTCCACTGTATTAGGATTAGTTTGCCCAAAATGCCTCGGCATGATAGTGACTATCTTTGTACTTAGCAAATCACAATTGTAATTGCACACTATCCTTTACAAAGAAATAAACTTTACTTTACTAGGGCTACAGGCTATCTCTTGTCTAATATATCTCTATTTTCTTTGTTAATTTTAAGATTTAAACGCTTTTACCTTTTCTTGCCACTTTCAGCAACACTGGTAGGCCTACTGTGTGCCATGATTGCTTGGCAGATACGAGATATGGTAATTAAAGATCAAAACACAATTCACAAACAGAGCTAGCCTGTAGGAGAGAAGTGGAACTGAACACATATTCACGAAGGCTGGGATGGTGGTGGTGGGAGTGTCAGGGGGTAACAGGGGATGGCAGGAGGTCTCCCCCTCTGACCCACAACAAGGCGGCAACTTAAGCTGGGAAAATTTTTTCTGCACCTGCAAACGGAAACATGTAAAGTTAATTTCACGAAGTGTTGTATAAAATTGTGCCACAATTTTTCAATCGTGCTATAACCAAATCGTGCCAAATAAACTCATGTTAAATGATGGTCTACTGTATATCATAGTTGGTTCGAATTGAACATTGAGTTTTTATATATCAACAGAGGTAGTTACAGTATTATATTTTAGCACATGGCCAACTTAATATTAACTTAAGATTAGTAAGGCAATAACAGATAATTATATGGACTTTTGATGAGTTATGATGAGTACAGTAATTAAAGGTTTAAAGTTAGTTTATAAAATTACATTATTACAAGCAGTGGTACAATTTGAATGATTTTATTGTGTGGAAATAATACAGTGGAACAATTTAAACAACAACTTACAGTATGAAATTATTACAATTTGATACAGTATAGAACAATTTAAAAAAAATTATATTAGATTATTAAAATTTAGTATTATTTAATGCAATGAAACTGAAGCATCTAATTTTGAAGTAATGAGTTTATGGTTGGGTAATCCTTAGCACAAATACAGTAATGAAGTTGAATTAAGTTTAAGTTGAGCATTCTTAAATTATTTAGAAATTTTTTGTATAGCTTTTGAGTAACTGGTAGGTATTAAGTGTGGTTTGACTGTTTAATTTTGGGTGATGAGGTGATTTCCAAGTAGAGCCTTAAATTGATTTGCAGGCAGGGGTCCTTTAGTGTGTTCTGGTAATGAATTCCAGATCTTAGGGCCCTTTATGTGCATAGCATTTTTGCATAGGGAGAAATGGACACGAAGGATATCAAAGAGTGATTTGTGTCTTGTATTATGGTTGTGTGTTCTGTTATAGTTATTAAGGAGGAGTTTTGAGAGGAGGGTTTATATTTGAGTGTAGTGTTCTGTGTATGTAGTAGGCACAATAATAAGCATGGATGTTTTGTATATTAAGGAAGTTAAGACTCTTGAAAGGCAGAGGAGTCTGCTGTCTAGTGCTGGAGTTAGTAATTAATCAGACTGCAGTTTTTTGTTGGGTTATTAAAGGTTTGAGGTGATTTGCTGTGGTGAACCTCATGCACAAATACCATAGGTAAGTAAGTTTATTCAGTATACACAAATACAGTTACACAGAATTATCATACATAGCAGCATATGTGTAGAGAACCTTGGATAACCCAAACAAGTCAGACAGAGAGAGTGGTACAGATAAAGAAGAGCTGATTAGAGTACATAGTACTGTATCTTTGAAAGGATGCCTATTGTTTTGGAAACTTTCTTGGATATTTGCTATATGTGTGCCTGAAATTTGAGATCACTGTTTTGGCCCATTCCATTGTTCCAGTCTATGAAGCTCTCATAGCTATTTCAGTAGTATTTCTTCTATTCTTTTGACTGAGTACAAGAAACCGCCCATTTACCTATATCAACTACCCAATAAAGTGGTCAGAAATCAGTAATTTGGCCAATTTTACACAAATTTCAAGAGATGCCAATTTCAAAATAGGGTCCTGAATAAACAGTGCACATTCCTAACACTAAAATAACCTTTTCTCTGTTCATTAGTCATGTCTCCAGGTCACTTATATTACGCTTGCTTTCCATTTTGAATTTTTTCACACAAAAAAATAGAAGATATACTGTACTGTTATGCAGACTATTATAATAATTGAATAAGTAATGTCAACTCATTTGTGACTGTGTATTAGACTGGGCAGTTGGACACGTATTGGATAGTGACGTTATTTGTTTACTCTTGAACATCGGCAAAAATCAAACATTTCCGCTACTTTGAACTCAATTTTAAGATACTTTCCGGTGTGAAACCAATCAAAATTATATCTATTTCTGTAATATATCTTCCATTCCATCAATTGAGACCTAAAAAAAGGAGAATACAACCATGCAAACCATACAAAAATACACCACAGAGTCGCTCTTTTACACCATAAGCACAGTCGCCTTTTTTTTCTCATTATGCAATGCGTGCTGCAGGATTTTTTTATATAATGCACACTTACCACATAGACCTATTCTCACGTATGTAGGCCCAAATTTGCCAGTCACAGCTTATTTGAGTGAGCTGAGCCTCATGGTTTCCAGCAGTGGCTTCAAAGCCACCTTATCTTTTATGGACAGTGTTCAGTGTACTATATACTTTACACAACAAAAAGCATTGGAACCATGGCTAGGGCTAAAAGTTAGCAGGTTATAACAATAAATGGAGAAAAAGAAATTGGAATGACTTATGCAGCAAGTAGTGCCACCGAACAGTAGCTGCAGGTTGGTGTGGTGGCCCTGGAAATTTGCATTTATGCTAGCCAAAATTAGTACTGGATTACTGATGGAACCGGATTACTGACTGCGGGTTTAGTGATGGCCAACCTTTACTACTACTTATACTACTACTATTACTACTACTATAACTGCTAATACTAATACTGCTACTACTACTAATACTGCTAATACTACTAATACTACTACTGTTACTACTACTACTACTACTACTACTACTACACTACTACCACTACTTCTACTACTATAATATTTTTCCATCCTGTCCCACTGCCTGTCTCCCTCTTGTATATATTCTGGCTTCCTTCAATTCGGGCTTTTCTATGTGACTAGTTAATGGTCCAAGATGGACTGAAACATTGTCATAAGTTTCCATACCCTATGTGCAGGTTATTTGTGTATTCCGGTTATGATATTGTGCCTTTTTATTCTTTGAGGAAACACATTTATCATCATTCATTCAACCCTTGTCTTACCAGAAGTGTGCTGAAATCACATTTTAGATGACAGTGTAAACTGTAATTTCCTCACTCCCCGTTCAGAGTGCAGGCACTGTACTTTTCTCCTCCAGGGCTCAAGTCTTGCTAACCAGCTCCACTTCCTCCAGCCTCCTCCTCACTGCAACATTCAAAGACCATGCCTGGCACCCATGTAGCAATGTTGCTATCACTATACTCTCATACATTTCCCTTTTTGCCTCTTATATATAAAGTTTTTTGTCTCCACAGATTTCTTTACACACAAAACCACCCCTTTCCCATCCAACCCTCGTCTTTTCAGTAGTTTATATGCTGACACATCCACTCCTAAATTTCTGAGTACATTCATTTCTTCTTCCACTCCCTCTTGTGCATCTGATATCCATGTTTTCATTGTCTAGATTCTTATTATTTTCATCATCTTGCTTTTTCCTATGGTAATTAACTTTTAATTTCTTTCTTTTGCATACTCTCCCATATTCATCCATCATTCTTTGTAATTTTTCTTCAGTGTACTATTTATTACTAATATCAGATTAGTTCCACTGCCTATAACTTTTCTTATTCCTTTTTTTATCAGATTCTGGGCACTATATGTATGTGGAAGCTCAGTGGTCATTTCCTCCATCTTCTGCCGTGATGTATAGAGATCAATTAGAGGGCGTCCAGTGTTTGCGTTTCTGGTATTACATGTTTGGTGAGAAAACACCAGACCTCATTGCCACCACTGAAGAAAATGGTATTATAAGTGAGCCGATCTTCTTCAGGACTGGTTCACAGGGAGACTTTTGGCATCTAACCTCTATGAATATACAAGCCAGTTCAGCAGACTATAATGTATGTACTGTAACTCAACAATACTGAATAAAGTATGCCTTTGATATATTTTAAGAGTAAAAATCTAAATCAGAATTAAATAATAATATTTTATATTACAGGCTGTTATCAGAGCAGTGTGGAATGAGTCTTGTCAAGGCATTATAGCAGTGGATGATATTCGACTTCACTCAGGTTCTTGTGTTCACAATCCTAGTGACCCTCATGCTCTCCATGACTTTGAGGAGAACGGTTCTTCGTTTAGTCTTATTAGTGGTGGTCAGGTAGAGTGGAGCACCATGAGTACTGGGAAAGAGCCAGATCACACACTTGGCACACTCAAAGGTAACCTCTTCACTCCACATGCATAATACTGTAGTAAGAATTGCTATATGAATTAAAACTAGAGGATTTGTAAGTTAATTGTAAATATTGTTTGTTTCAGTATGTAATATTTACTTTGGGCTGTAAAATGAAAAGGATTTTTAAATTATTTTCAATGAAACTTGGCAGTTCTAAGATTAAACCATATATAATATATTAACTTTTAAACTGTGGCATACCCCCAAATAAAAATTCATGCATGTGTGTGGGAAGATCTTGAAAAAAAAAAAAAAAATTTCTTATAGAATGAAAAAGTGTATTTTTCTGAATTGAATAAGACTAAAATGAGTGGAATATGATAAAAATTTACAATTTTATGGTATGTTGAAACTGGTGAAAAACTTATAGCTCAGTTTTTTAATTGTTTATAATGTTTAACAGTATGGGTTGACCATCACTAATCCGGCATCATTTGGATCCATAATGTGCTGGATTACAGAGTGGGTAGGTTAGAATACACTTAATTAACCTATCAACAGAGACACTCTTTGCTATATCTTCCTCATTTTCATCACTGCTTTCTCCACTGGCTTGCTGCTGTTGATTTACAACCATCTGCACAATTTCTAAGTTAGCATAATGAAGAAATTTGAGTCAGTATAAGGATTTGAGTCAGTATAATGATGAAATTTGAAATTATGCTAGCTGAAATTAGTGCCAGATTACTGATGGAACCGGATAACCGATTGCCGGATTAGTGGTGGCCGACCTGTATATGCACTAGTATCTTATGATATGTGTTTTAAGATGTTTTAGCACTTCAAACATGGGGAAATGCTTAACTCATCATTATTCTACTTGGTGTGTATGATAAACATATGTGGTATTGTTGTTTTTTATTCTTTTCATTATTTTTAATGTTTTGGTTTTCTAATGCTATGTACAAGGAATACTAACAATATCACAAATGTTCTAGAATGTAATAATCGTCAGAACATGGAAATAAGTCACATTGTTCAACTACTGACTTATTCTGGGTTAAATATTCTTAATGTGCTTTGTGGCTGAATTCCACTGTTAGTATCATGAAACTGTAATAAATTTGGAATGAAAAAGTCGTCTTTGTTCCACTTCCACACTTTGTTTGCTAGTAGGGAAGCTGATGGTGGAACAGCATCTCCTGGTTTTATTGTTTAGTTTTGTTATGCATACTAGTATGTCAGACACATAGTCATCACTTGTGCAGTTAACCTTGATACACTTTGTAGACCCTCCTGGCCTTAGATAATTTTCAAATGTATGAATAGATTTAAGAAGACCCAAAGATTTGTGCTGAGGTTAAAAATACTGGCAGATGGTAGATTTGTAGGTATGAAAAATTGTGTGTATTAGTATGTCGGACACAGACAGCACTTGCGTACAAGTATATTGGACACAGTTTAAAAGTTAAACCATATATCTAAGTTCTGTGAGAGATGAGGTGAACCATAGAATTGACAAAGGGTAAAAAGGTAGGTGGTGTACTGAGGCATGTGTGGAGACAAAGAACTTTATCCATGGAGGCAAAAAAAGGGGAATGTATCAGAGTATAGTGGTACCAACAATATTGTATGGGTGTTGAATGTTGCAGCAGGGGGATGAAGGTTGGAGGCAGTAGATATGTCATGTTTGAGGGCAGTTGTAGTATGAAAATTATGCAGAGAATTCAGAATTTGGAGATTAGGAGGTGTGTAGAATCATCAGTAGTAATTTACACAGGGCTGAGGAGGGGTAGTTGAGGTGGTTTGGACATTTGGAGAACATGGAGAAAAATAGGATGACTAGGAGGGTATATTAATCTGGGGTAGAGGGAAGGAGGGGTAGGGGTCATCCTAGGAAACTTTGAAGGGAAGGGGTCAAGAAGGGCACGGACATCCAACAGGCTTGTTAGATAAGAGTAGAGGCAAGCAGTTCTTATGATTTGACATGTTATTGGAGTATGAGCAAGGTAACATTTATGAAGGGATTTAGGGAAACCCCTTAGCAGGACTTGAGTCCTGGAGGTGGAAAATACAGTTTCTGCACTCTGAAGGCAAGGTGGGGATGGTGTGGTTTGGAGGGGCATCTGAACTGTGATGTCCGTACCTTTCTGTCAAAACAAGTGATTAGATGAGTGATAGTAAAAGTGTTCCCATCTTTTTTTCAGGTCACCACCCTACCTTGGTAGGAGATGGCCATAATGTTAAAATAAAATCAGAGTTAGTATCAGGAAAATTTAATGCAAGAGTTAAACATATGAAAGAATTTTAATCTCAGTGTTGGAGAAGGTGTGCATGTTAGCTTATGGGAATTTGAAGTAATTTCATATATTTTTATTTCTTGTTCTAAGAAGCATATTGAATTAAAGCATCCGCATTGACTGAATCTTTCATTATCTACAAGTCAGTCTTTCATAATTGCCCACTCTAGGCAGTTCTTCATAATTAGTCATTCTTTCATAATTACACAGTCAAATGAATCCTTCATAATTATGCACTCTAGTTTTCCCTTCATAATTACTCACTAGTCATTCCTTCATAATTTCCCACTCTAGTCAAGCTTTCATTATTACCTTATGAGAATCTGAAGTCACTTGCTACTAACAAGTGTCTACATTCAAAGACTCTCACTTGTTGCCACCCTGCACTGACCTATCTAACAGTTTGTTAGATAGTTCAGTGCATGTCATCCTTCTGTAGCTCTCTCCATATTTTCTACATGCTCAGACAATCTCCACTACTGAGCCCTGTGAATTATACCCCTGGAGTTTTTATTTGGGGGGGGGGGCTGAGGGAATTTTTTTAGAGGATGATGCTGCCTTAAGCCCCCCACTGGCATTGGCACTGGTATTCAGCAAAAGAGCAACTCTGATGACTGCTACTTTGTATCTAAATGTGAAAATAAATCTTATATATTGTGTTGTTTGACAGGTCATTTTGCTAGAGCTGATTTATCCAAATACAGCGCTGGAGAGCAGGGGAAAATTACTTCTCCAGTTTACAAGATTCAGGGCATAACATATAGGTGAGCTGGAAATATGTTTGCTGTTGTGTTACATTAAAAATTACGTTTATTGATATTGATTTTTTTAACACACCAGCCATATCCCACCTAGGCAGGGTGACCTAAAAAGAAAAACTAAAGTTTTTCTTCTTAAATTTAGTAATTTTTACGGGAGAAGGGGTTAGTAGCCCCCTTGCTCCAAGTATTTTTAGTCAAGCATATTGATTATTATTATTACATTAAATAATATTGATCTAATGGTATATTTTATATATTTTGGTTTTTGCAGTCACTCAACTGAAGTTAACTGATTTACACTTGTCAGCCATATTGGTCATAACTCCATGTAAACATGCATTGATAAACTATGCAATAAACTCATGATTTATATCATTACTTGGTGAACAATATCTCTCCATAAACTGTTAATAATGTGAAAGCCTACTAAAATCTTGATACATGCCATTATTTTGTAAATGGGTACCAAGGCCATAACAGTGGCAGATACATGGCCTGGTAGGAGGGAAACACACAGTATTAGCAAAAGCAGACCCTTATTCTAATATGACATTTTTCCTACAACAGGCTCTATTAAGTACCTGATGAAGCCTCTTCTAGCTTAAATTCCATCTATAATATAAGGTCTGATTTTGTTATACATTTTTTTTTCCAGCACTTGTCTGTGTACTGCCTCACTCCAGTCAACTACTGGGGCTTCACAATGCCATCTCATAGTTGTAAACATTTGCATGGTCAAGTACTCACCAGGAAATACTCTATGAATAATTATTACCCATTCATCTGTCAACTAATGTATAACTTTGATGGCCCATTTATCATCATCAACTTTATAATCATAGAGTTGCTTAACAAATGGAAAAATCACCTCATTAACAGACAAATTCATTAGCAGACAAAGTCTAAAAAAAAGATTCAGCAAAGTCAACTTCTAAATCTTATTTTGCAGTTAAGGATTCATCTACCAGCATACAAGTGTCTTGTACAAGTATAGTGCAAGGACTGAGACCATTCCACATATAAGAAGCTTCTGGATACAGTAGGGCCCTGCTTTACGACGTTTTGCTTTATGGCATTCCGCTAATATGGACATTTCAAATTATGACCAAAACTCACTATACTGCTCCTCCCACCTGACTTTCTAATATGGTCACTGCACCCCACCCAGTTTGTTTACATTCTCTGTGAGCTCTGTGAGAACCATATCTCTCCATTATGTTTGGAAACTTTCCAAAATTTTAAGTGTTTTAAAGTTATTTCATGTTTAATATATACTCTGATAATTATACTTATGTGTACCTGTACCTAACTAAACTTACACACTATGCTGCCATGAAGGTACATGTTAAAATCACTAAGAGTGTCTTATTAGTCTTGAGGATGCCACAGTAATGGTGATAATAATAATAATACACAATAATAATCACTCTGAGGCACATTAAATGTCGTATATTACGTTAATACGTATAAACATTTTCATTAATCCAGTCTGATATTTTTTTTTCAAAATTATATAATAAACATGCACGTAGCATATAAACATGATAAATACACCCCACAGTAGAATAAATTAACATAAATATGAAATGTTAGGTGTAGATGAACGTATGTCAACCAAAACCAGACGACATCTGTTTGTTTACATTCTCTGCGACTCTCTCCTCTCTCATTTACTCGTTCTCTCTCCCCCTCTCTCTATTTTAAGGTAAGCAATGACTGTACTGTATATGCATTTTATCGCTCTAGTGCACTTTAAATGTAGTAGTATATTATGTGTGGGTGGCCTGGCCTGGCTGGCTACCATACCTCCTACACCAGACTTCCTACAAAATAAACACTACTCAACTCTCACCCTACATTAAGACTACAAATATTTTAAGGTAAGCAATGAGTTACTGTGTGTGTATTTTACTTTTTATTGCTTTTAATGCCTAGTTCTATTGATAACTTAATATATAAGACAAGATAAGATAAAGTTTATTTCTTTGTAAAGGCTACAATGTGTAATTACAATTTTTATTTGCTGAGTACAAAGATACCCATTATTATGCAGGGGCATTTTGGGCAGACTAGTCCTAATACATAGTAACTAATTAAAACTAGACAAGATAATAAGAATGCAGTAACTATACTTAAAACTAGACAAGTAGTAGTGGTTAACTGTTTTACAAACTTGTTTAAACCTAATACAAATGTGAGGTAGTAAGGTGGAGTAAGGTTCAGTAAAATAATCTTGAAATTGCACACAAAATCTGTATTGCAAGTATTGGTTCAGGTGGTAGTATTTTATGAATTGCCAGAATTAAAAGCCTAGAGGTCACATAATAAAACTAATTAGGAGATGTTTTGGTTGATTTGGTTAATATTGAGAGATAAGATGATTTTTTAGCAAAATCCTATATTTAAAAGTTGCCAGGGGTTCCTTGACCTGTTCCGGTAGTGAGTTCCAGATCTTTGGGCCCTTTATATGCATAGCATTCTTGCATAGTAAGAGACTGACTTGAGGGATGTTGAAAAGTGCCTTATGCCTTGTATAGTGGACCCTCTTCCTGCCTGTATATACCCGTCCTGCTCCACTTCTCGCTAGTGTGACTTTGTAAATGGTCCAAGTCGGACTGAAACGTCGTCGTAAGCTCCTCTCTTCTATGTGCGGGTTACTTGTGTATCGTTTCAGTCACGGTATTGTGCCTTTTTTTTTTTGTTATTTATAAGTGTATGTCTTGTATATTTAGCAAGTTCAGTCTTTTGAAAAGTGGTGGGGTGTGCTGTCTAGCACAGGAACTGGTTATCACCCGCACAGCAGCTTTTTGTTGGGTTATTAAGGGTCTGAGGTGGTTGGCTGTGGTTGAGCCCCAGGCACAAATACCATAGATGAGGTAAGGATATATTAAGAAAGTGGTATAGGGTAAAGAGTGTTGCTTGTGGTATATAGTATAGTATCTTGGAAAGGATTCCTGCTGATTTGGCTATGTGATGGGTGTGGGACTGAAGGAGAAGACCTAGAAATTTGCCCTTCATGTGTCTTGATATAAGGGAACCATTTATCAATATATTAAGTTGGATATTTAAGGCTCTGTTGCCAAACAGCATGAAGCATGTTTTGTCTGTGTTGAGAGTGAGTTTGTTGGTCATCATCCAAGTAAATATCTTTAGCAGCTCGTAGTTTACAGTGTTTCCAAGTACAGCTGGGTCTGAATGGGAGTAGACATAAATAGTGTCAGCTGCGAGTAGAATTGGTTTAAGGAGTTGGGATGCATTGGGGAGATCATTGATGTAAATGAGTATTACAACCCAGGGACAATAAGGCCTGTTATCCTGGGTATAAAGGGGAGCAAGGAGCAACCCAAAAAGAAAGAAAATCCCCAAAAAGAAAATACTTTCATCATCATTCAGCTCTTTCACCTCACTCGCACATAATCACTGTTTTTGCAGAGGTGCTCAGAACACAACAGCTTTGAAGCATATACGTATAAAGATACACAACATATCCATCCAAACTGTCAATATCCCAAACCCCTCCTTTAGAGTGCAGGTATTGTACTTCCCATTTCCAGGACTCAAGTCCGGCTATATAAAAAAACCGGTTTCCCTGAATCCCTTCACTAAATATTACCCTGCTCACACTCCAACAGATCGTCAGGTCCCAAATACCATTTGTCTCCATTCATTCCTATCGAACACGCTCACGCATGCCCGCTGGAAGTCCAAGCCCCTCTCCCACAAAACCTCCCTTACCCCTTCCTTCCAACCTTTTCAAGGACGACCCCCACCCCGCCTTCCTTCCCCTACAGATTTAAATGCTCTCCATGTCATTCTACTTTAATCCATTCTCTCTAAATGACCAAACCACCTCAACAACCCCTCTTCAGCCCTCTAACTAATACTTTTATTAACTCCACACTTTCTCCTAATTTCCACACTCCGAATTTTCTGCATAATATTTACACCACACATTGCCCTTAAACAGGACATCTCCACTGCCTCCAACTGCCTCCTTGCTGCAGCATTTACACCCAAGCTTCACACCCATATAAGAGTGTTTGTACTACTATACTTTCATACATTCCCTTCTTTGCCTCCATAGATAATGTTTTTTGTCTCCACATATACCTCAATGCACCACTCACCTTTTTTCCCTCATCAATTCTATGATTAACCTCATCCTTCATAAATCCATCCGCCAACACATATGTACACTATATACAGTTGGAAATGTATGTGTACAACATGGTTAAGGCAAGTCCAAGACACAGTCTGGAGACAGAATGGACAACCATGCTCAACCAGCTCTAGTATGGAAATGACAAGGGTAGACAGGTGGGTGGTGCCCACAATACCTCTCCGATTGCCAGACCCACCTTCTCATTGGCTGAACCTGGGTACTGATCAAACGATGGGGCCCCATCGTTCGGCCCTAGTACTGGTTCGCTGGTTGGAGAGATAGCGCTGAATAAAGGTTATGTACTCTTTGCATGCCACAATGAGAAAGAGAAGTCGCCCTAGGACACTACCTGGGGGTACTCTACAGCTACAGGTTGGATAGTGGAGTTGATTCCATTTGCATATACATACTGGTGTCTGTCATTAAGATAGGATTTTAGGTGGTCAAGTGAATGTCCTCTGATGCCGTAATGATTTAGTTTTAGGTGCAAGAGATTGTGGTTGACTGTATGAAACACTTTTCGTAGGTCGATGAAGAGCCCCAGAGGATATTCATTTTTATCGAGAGTTGTGTATATTAGTTCAAACATTTGTATAAGAGTGTCATTCGTACTTTGTTTTGGTCTAAACCCAAACTGGCAGGGGTTGAGTATGTTGTTGGATGTAAGGTAGGAGTAAAGTTGCTTGTGTATTATTTTTTCGAATATCTTGGATAGTAAGGGCAAGTTTGATATGGGTCTATAGTTGTTCAAGTCAGTTGGATCACCACCTTTGTGGATTGGGGTAACCCTTGCTGTCTTGAGTATAGATGGGAAGGTTGAGTATGCTACAGATTTGTTAAA